GATTTTACCTTATATTTGGGCACTTTACAAAATCAGAGTATGAATTCCTATGACTTCCTCAGAAACCAGCTGCCAAGGGTATGAAGGATGAAGTGACAGCAGAAGCACCATAGAAGACGGAGGGAGGCAGTAGGTAACAGCCACTAGGCCTAGTGCCAGCCCTGGAAGCTGGCTATCCCTTAGCAACTTGTATAGATAATGGAGAAAAAGACATTTTAGCAGATGCATAGCACATAGAGTAAGGCAGGTGTGCCCTTGGGTTGCCACTGGAGGAGGTTAGGAAAACTGCCATCCTCCAGCTGAAGTTAGTCTTTGTGAATGCTCTCCCTAATGTTTGAAATAGCAGCTCCAATTAGACCATTAACACTGTTTTGCATGGGCAGAAATATTGAATAGAAGTTATTTTTGACTGCAGGTTAATTAAATTGTAAAAGGCCATATTTTTTTCCTCTTACATGTAATCTTCAAACATTTGAAATTCTGCAAAACACAGATAGAAGAAAAGAATTTTTTTCCACATCAACTTTAGGGAATTGACTTGGGAATTTAGTAATGACTCAGGGAAGCAGATACCACATATGAAAGAACACAGGAATGAAGAGGACGTGGCAGAGCTTGGAGTAATATATATCCTTCAGGTTAGAAATGACTCTCAACAGAGCTAATAATTTGGTTATAATTATTATTTCTCCACCCTTTCAGCTGAATTAATTTAATCTGTTGCAGACAGAGGTGTTATTTAAGCTCACGTTTCCTACTGTTATGTATTCTTAAAAATGAGAACAGAAAAAAAAGGTTTTTTATTGTTTTCATTCTCTATGCACTGGTTTGGTAAATTCTTTGATACTAGGAATTAGGAAGCAAAGTCTCAAACTGAAGCATTGTCAGACACTGGACTCCAAAGAAAACCCATAGAAAAATCCAGAGAAAAACTATATGCCATTAATATATTTATCTAATAAGCTGAAATCTAAAATCCGGTTTTTAGGAAAGGGTGTGAGCTGCCAGCAAGCAGTGCACTTTTATTCAGTAGAGTGCCTCAGCAAATGATTAACTTTAAGCAAATTCTCCAGTTTCATTGATCTCAGAACATTTTCCTTACGTCAGAATCAGAATTTGATGAACAGGCCTGGATTTAAACATATGCTGGTTTACACTCTGAATAGGAATCAGTATCAAAGTTTGCTTTTAGGATCCACTAATAATATGTGGTACTGTACTGCAAGACAGCAGTCAGAATATATGAATCCTTAGCCCTTCACACCTTCATCAGTGATGAGATGCACTCAGCATCAGCTTAAGTGACTTGGGGGTTCCTGTCATGTTAATTCCTTTTCCTTGTTTAAATCTGATTTCGTTATGAGATGGGAAAAAACAGGGTTGATTTTATTTTTTTGAAATATCCAGCTTTTCCCTAGCCTACCAAGAGCAGGTATTATTGTCCATTAATCGCTTCCTTTATTATTATCCTTCTTTTTAAATGGAGATGTGAAAGTTGTGGATTACCATACATCGTGACAGTGACACAACCAAGAGACATGTTGCAAAAAAGCAATATGGGAATACAGAAGTATTTATTGAGAAGACATACAAAAATGCTGGTGTATTTAGGTTATACAGAGGCTTCGAATGTCTGCAGTGGATAAAAGTGAAGTTTAAGATGATAAAATAACTGACAAATGAAGCATATATTAATGTTTATTAAATCGTTACATTTGTCATTTAAGGCTATAGATTTGACATGGAATGTATTGCACATAAATAGTAAGATACATATAGATCCCTCACTGTTCTGTTTTTCTGTCAGTAAAACCTTTCCTTCAGTCTGAAAGAATAAGAGGGATCTTCAACCTTTTGAGACAGCAATCAGCCTGTGCTGAAGTGTGGGGCATTTGAGAAAACAGCACATAGGAGAGACAAATATCAGGCCAGAATGACAGAGAAATTATAAGAGAAACATGAAACCCGACAGCTTTACCCTGTATATGAATTTAGTGTATAGAGGCTGAGAAGCCGTGCTGGAGCTCTGAAAGTGAAAAAGAGGATTAGTGTTGTAGCCAGGGGTCAGGAGGAGAAAGTCTCCAGTGGCTTTTAAGGGCTCCAGTGTCAAGTCCTGGAACCAAAGACAAAAATCCTGCTCTCAGTAGATGTCGTCTACGTCCTGCAGATGTCAGGTCAGCACCTCAGAGAGACTACTTTTATCTTTGTCCTCATAACAAATTCTTCAGAGGAGCAATGGTTTTGCTTATTAAAGTCTCCAAATACATTTTCGTGCTGAACTCTGCATACACTGTGTTGTTCATTTCCACTGTGGCTTCAGGCAGCATTCCCGGTGCTATTCATGTGGCGATATGCCAGCCTGCATCCTTAGCAGAGGCTCAGAAAGGCTTTTTGCAGGGAAGCGAGGAAACATATCAGAGAGGCCTGATCCTAGGGCACTAGTGCAGTGGAAAAATGGCTTCTGACCTCAACATGGATGTGCTGAAGGAATGCTCCTACTTACACTTCAACTTGCTTATCAGGCATTGGTAGGCAAAACCCTCTGATACGCATTTTCTGGAGACAGTATGAGATGGTATCAGACGGGTTGTATGATTTGACGCTGTACCTCAAGCAGGAGGAATGTTGACATAGGAGGACTTATGTTGCTATCCCACTGGAGACATCTGAATCTTAGGACACACCAGTTTTAGGTCTCTGTGCACCAGCAGGTTCCTCTAAAGTTCCTCCAACTCCCACTCTGTATAAACACCTAATTCAGTCTAACCAAAAATTTCCAGCAAACTAACTGGAAACTTTCTCAAATAATTCCGTTTTCTTGCTCCACTGGATTGGAAGAAAGTGATTTTTTCAAAAATGGGAAAAAACTTTAAATTCACTGTGATTATTTTTTCTAATGGGAAAAACCCACTGTAACATTCTGAATAGAAAAACGCATCTGTTTTTTCTACATTGTATCCCTTTGTGAAAATACACAGCCCTTACCATATGAAAATTACCGTAAAGTGACAGGGGAATAATTTCAGGAGACTCTTGTCAAATTATTAGCAACACGCTCCATAAAGAACCACAAAGAAAAGGGAAATCCCATAAAACACAAAAGGGCAAAGCTCAGAAAGAAAGTTCTGTGCTATAACTCATTTTCTACATTCCTTCTCTGTTCTCAACCACAGAAACCTCCTTTTTAATTAAATTATCTGCCAGTAGAGAAATACATGGAATTATAACGCACAAGAACACATTGCTACTTTAATATTCTACACTATTTATAAGACAGCACAAGGCACAGTTTTTGACTTTTGAATACTGGCAAACCAAATAATTTTGATTTCTTAGGCATTTATCCATGTCAAATGGATATTAACATATTAAACATACTAAATTCACTGTCATATCCTGAGATCTTTTTTGTTCAGAATGATACCAGATCAGATTTCCATTTATGCTACATTTACATCTATTTTAAAGACCCTCTTCTCTGCCAGAATGGTTTAAAGTGAGCTTGCTAAGGGAAAGTAGGGTCTATGTTGTATTTTAAAAAGCTGATTATTCAAAAAGGCATTGATTATACAGCACAGTACACTGCATGACACAGAACCTCAGCTGGCTGATATTGTTGCAGTTTGATTTACAGCAGTCAGGTTATGCAGGTTTCCTTCAGCTGGGGATCTAGTCTTGTATATTTTGTGTAATTAGAGGATATATATGTTAAGCAATAACACAGAGCTCTATTGTGTTTATTTGGCAAATATTTCCACACTTCAACCAACTGTCGAAACTGTGAGTTTGGAAGCTAAACATACCAATTACACACAAACTACATCCAGATCCTGCTTTTAAATTTTGCAGATCTTGATTAAGCCATCCATTGGCTTGGAAGTAATCCAGGTTTATACCATTGCATCTGGACACAGAATATTATGAGGCTATACATAATTTATATAGATCAGCACTATTTATTGTGAAAAGACACAGGTAGATAAAGCTTATTTTTTAAATAACAGACCTTATTTTCACTGTCACCTGCTAGGATGGAATTGCACCTTGTACAGTCAGTGAACAGTCTCATCTCCCTCTATATTCTGGACATCAGTCTCAAGGAGAATTTACATGGCTCATGGGCTTCGGATGGACAGTACATTCCACCCCAGCAACACTAACTCCTGTTAGTGACGGCAGATGAAAATGGGGGTTTGGGTTTTTTAAATTAAAAAGCCTGTATTGTTAAAATCAGCTATAATCAGTTGGGACTGAAGGCCCATTTATGCTTTCACTTGCTCTGGTGAAACATCAGAGTTATCCCATTGTGCTCTGTGGAATTACTGTTGAGTTTTAAGCTCATAAATAAGAACAGAAATTCTCTCTTAATCCTGTATTTGAACATAAGTGATTACAGCCTGAATTGCCTCTATGAAGGCTATTCTCTATGAGATAAAGGCATGTCCCCATTTAACATATTCTACAGGTTTCACAGAATCATTTTCTGCATGCCTACATTGATTTTACAGGATTTTAACATTGATCAAAAGTCGGATTAAAACAAAAAGAAGAACTCTTCAAATCAGAATGTCCTGATTTTATGCTGGGATGGGTGTCCTCTGTAGCGTGGCCTCCCTGTGGTTTATATTGTTTTTAATGGCCTTGGATGGACGCTCCTGAAAACTACTTCCTTGAAAAAAATCAATAAATATGTCTTTGTGCTAAAGCGCATAACTGTACAAAGAAAACAGAACAAAAGACAGCTTATGAAAACCATAGGTAGTAGCAGGTCCATCCATGTCTTATAATAAGATTCAGATATAACTGCTGTGAACATTAAAGTGGTAAAAGGGGCAAAAATGCACAGCATATAATTTCAAAGTGACAACAATCAAAGTTCCTTGGAAACAGAAGAAAAACATTACCCATTTTGTACTTGTTATGTAATTGTGCTTGTCCTTGGACACATTTCACCTGTGATCACACTTCCAGCAGTTTGGTGTAGAATTTTTATTATTTTTTTAAATTTTGTCATCATCATAGGTATTTATTTTTTTAAATGCGACTGGACTTGCCTGCTTTAAAGAGGTTTTTGAAACATCTGTGTGCATGGTGGACATGGCTATAGTCTCATAATCCTCCTCACGGGAGTGGAAATGACAAAAATGAAATAAAAACTGTAGGTCCCTTTGGAAATTCTTGTTGAGAAACCCGTAGAAGATGGGGTTCACACAGGTAGAGATCATGGCGGTGAGGTGGCAAATCAGGAACAATAGGTTGTGGCTGCAGGTAGCGACAGGCAGAATTTCGTGGTTCCAATCAAACACAATATTGAAGATGGTGAGAGGCAGCCAGCAAACTGCAAATGCAACCACTATTGAGATCAGCATGATGTTGATCCTTTTGGTTTCAGAGGATCTGTATTTATTGTCTCTCATCTTGTCCATCATATTGTTCCTTTTTTTTAATCGAATGTATATCTGCAGGAAATTCAACAGAGAAACATGTGGGATTACTTAACCTACAACCATCATCTTTGCAAGGATAAACAAACATCAGACAGGAAGAATTACATACCGCGAAGTGATCCTCTCTTACCTTTAAGTAGCAAATAAATATAAAACAAAGTGGTCCAAAGTACTGAATCACCAAAAGCGTTGTGGTATAAGAAAGCCTGGCAGTGTCCAAGGGGAACAGGTCCAAACACACATATTTGTCCTTATACTCATCAAATGTTATGTTTCTGAAGGGTTCATCTGTTAACACATGGTAGACGAGGAAAGGCAAAGAGGAAGCTGCGGCTAAGATCCATATGGCAGCAACCCCCATGTAGGCATGTCTGTTGTTTGGCCTCCAGCCACGGGGATTGATGATCAGCTGATGGCGTTCAATAGCAATGAGGACTAAAGAAAAGACCGAGACAGTGATCGAGGCACATTGCACAAATGGATTCAGTTTGCACATGGCCTCCCCAAAAATCCAGTGGTCCATTAAAGTATACACGAAAGTAAAGGGAAGACACATGATGGTCACTAGAAGATCAGAAAAGGATAGGTTGACAATGAGGATGTTGGTAACATTGCGCATCTCCTTTTGTTTTAAAATAATGACAATCAAGGCCAGATTCCCAGAGACTCCCAGAATGATCACCGTGCCGTAAGCCAAGGCCAAAGTGAAGACCATGGCCACAGGCACGTGGCAATCCTCATCTTCAAACTGCAACATCTGCGAGTTCTTCTCCGAAAAATTCAGGTGGCTAGAAATATTTGCCAGGGGGGCAAGAACCGAAGTATTCATCTTGTTTCCAACTTGCCGTACGACGTCCACATCCACCGCCACTGCTGTCATCCAGATCACTCTCGGGCTTCAAAAGGTGCCCATCAGCCCCACAGACCCCCGGCTGAGCCCACTTCTGGCTGCCACATGTCCCTCGCACCACCTGCGGAGAAGAAGGCAAGGAAGGAGCGGGGCCCGTCACCCCCAGGCATGTCACCCCCCCTTCCCCCCCAATGCCCCACTGGGGAGCATCTAGGGGGAGGTGGCGACGCGCCTGGGGGTGGTCAGCCCCACACCACCACCGCCCTGCGGGGGCTGCAGTCTGGGGGATGAAAGGCAGAAGGCAGGAGCAAAGTGCAGGTCTGCAAACTGGGGGCGCATCCCCTTGCCGGCACTTTCCCGCCAGCACAAATCACATGGAATAATGAGCAGAGAAGCACTTTGGGTCTTCCACCAGCATAGTTGATGTTTTACATCTCATTTGTACAAGTTTAATCTGCAAAGGTCTGCTTTCTCAAGCTGCTCTAAGTGGAATTATATCTGGCCATTGCATAAGGAGGGGGAAAAACCCATCTGACTAACGTGAGGGGTGGAAAAATTACTCCGAAAATCACTGCATTCTTTTTTACCTGATACATACACTTGATGTGGAGTGGCTGAGTGCCCACAGCAGCAGCTCTGGCACTGAGTCAAAGGCAAATCAGGAACTCTGAACACCTTAATCTAAGCTAGCAGGGCTGTGCAGCAAAGAAAGAACAAAACAAGATGAAAGACAAAAAATAGCAAAAATTAAAACTGCAGAAAATTTATTTACCTGTGCAACACAAATAGGTATGCCTAAATAACCATCCCTTTGCAAGGCCTCAGATTTTAAAATCAGAGAAAGTCAGACATATGTGTTCAGGAGGAAAATAGGGGGGGAAAAAAGAAAAAAGAAAAGAAAGGAATCAAATAACCTGTCACACCTTTACTCCAATTCACCGTTAGTGGCAGCCAACCTGAATCTGGAACTTGCCCTCTGCCCACTCTCCCATGAGCTAAATTTATTGCTCACTTAACCTTAGGTTACGGTAATGAAAGTAAAGCCACTTAAAATTCACACAAGTGGGTTTCAAACACAGCTCCATATGGCACTTAATCACAAAAGCTGTAAAAACATTGTCCGCTAAAATGTACTTCATTAAAAGTTATACTGAATGGGTGAGCTTTTGATCCTGAATGATTCTTGATATAAATCTCTGTGCCATCTAAGTCTCCAGAGCAGAGTCATCTTTGTCTGTTACTGGTGGCAGACACCTTTTTAACCAGCTGCATGCTGGAGACCAGAGCTGGGGCTGCCTCCTCACTGGGGCAGAGCCAGCCTGCGAAGGCTGGGCTTACACCTCCGGCTCCTCCTCAGGGTCAGCAAAAGGATGACCCTGCCAATGCATGTCCCCTCAGTAGTGTCAGGAGCTCACCTCAGCTGCCTCTACTGACTCTCTATAATCACCACATGCCTGCATGAAACTGTGACAGGAGATGTAGCTGGCCTCTGAGTGACATTTTACTGCCAAGGTTAACATCAATGACTTCAGAGGCATGCATCTCTCCATGAAGTTTGGCTACTCTGATTTTCAAGCTAGCTAGGCATGCACTGGGCGTTATATTATCTCTCAGTCCTGCTGCCTCTGCTAAACAAATTTGTCAGGTGTCCCTAGTCTGGTTTAGGGTCCAATAAAGAACCTCCTACCCTCCAGGGCCTCTTGAAGCATTGCCCCAGCCAAAGCCAGAAGCAGGTTCTTCACCCAAAGGGCAAGTGATGCGGGTGATGCAGTCAGGACTTCTCAATTTCCAACAGTATGACTTTAGCCCATCCTGAAAATCAACATCTGGATTTAATCACGATCTCCATTGTCACTTGTACAGCACGAGGTGGGGAGTCCAGCCCTGAGACTTGATGGGACAATGGCAGGAGCAGAGCGGGTGAGGAGCCATGTCCTGCAATGGGAGAACTGGGCAGGTTTTCTCACTAGCTGGGACCAAACTGCACCCAGCAATGAGGTAACCTAGGCTGCAGGGTCTTTGTTTTTCTTTTCCTTTAGCCAAGCTCTGTTCTTGCTTATTTATTAAATGTCAAACTCAAAAACAGAAAATGCCACTGCTCCTTCTTCCCTCACCTCTCCCCATAGCAAACATGCAAACTGAGAGTACAGCTGGGAACCAGCTCAGAAACATAGCACTGCTGGCAAGCGATGAGGAGTCCTTCCTCCCTGCCCACCTCTCCAAAATGGACCAGACATCAGGAGGGGATGAAGTTGCATCTCCTGGACAGCTGCACTGTTCCCTGTCCCCTATTCCACCAGCTCCAAAGCCAGGAGGGAGATCTCTCCCCATCGTGGGTGCTAGCGAGGGGTGGGGAGAGCCCACAGCTCTGCAGACCCCTCCGGGTGATGGCACAATCTCCCCCACCACACATACCTCTGCGACT